AGGGGGGCTCAGACATAGTTCCTCTTGTCGTAGCTGGTGACGGCGGAGCGCGGGGCGGAGTAGGCCACCTTGCCCGTGGGGTACCTGTCCTCTTTGGGGGGGCAGGAGCAGCAGAGCAGGGCCCCCCCCAGCAGCAGGAGCGCGGAGGCCGCCCAGCCCACATAGAGCGAGGTGCCCAGCTCCCGCTTCTGCGCGTCGATCACCAGCGGGTTGTAGAAATCCCGGATGATGGTGTTGGCCGACCAGCACACGGGGATGAGGGTCATGACGCCGGAGAGCAGGAAGATGACGCCGGAGACGATGGTGATCTTGGCCTTGGTGCTCTCGTCCTCCACGCAGCGGGTGCACTGGGCGCCCACGATGGCCACCATCAAGCCTATGACGGCCAGGACGATGGACACCACCAGGAGGGCGCGGGCGGCCTGCAGGTCCTGCGGCAGCGCCAGCATGGAGTCGTAGACCTTGCACTGCATCTGCCCCGTGCTCTGCACCACGCAGTTCATCCACAGCCCTTCCCAGATGATCTGGGCCGTCACGATGTTGTTGCCGATGAAGGCCGTCACCCTCCACATGGGCAACGCGCAACAGATGATGCTGCACAACCACCCCAGCACCGACAAGGCCACGCCGCCGATCTCCAGCCCCATGGACATGGTGGACGGTTCAGTGACACGCTCCGAGCGATGGCAAAGAAGAACCCACGGACCGAATCCGTCGCCGTCACCCGCCGCCGCTCGCAGCCCGTGGGGATCGGCTTTCACCTGTGCGCAGCGGCATTTATACGGCCGGCCCGGGGTGGGGTTTCAGTGCTGCCTGCTGGACGCTCCTCTGCGCTCCTCCGTCACCGTCACCTGCGTCCCACACCCTCCCCTTTGTTTGCAGAGATGGCGACGAGTAACCAGAGAAGGGCGGGAGGAGGAGAAACGCCACCTGCCACGGCCATCCCCTTGGTTTCGGGCGATAGGTATCGGGAAACACAGCCACCAGACTCATTCTGACCTGCCAACCCCCTTTCTGGGGACGTGGAAATGCCAAGGGCTCACCTTTCCTCCCTGGCAGTACTGGCGGGTCAGGGTTTGGCTGATTTCTGGAGAATGTTATCAGTGCTCACGTTTAACTGGGGTTCGGTGAGCACGGGGCACTTTTGCATCACCGTGCAAAGTGCAACCCCTTCGCTGTGCCCTGAGGTTTGTGTCCCCGTTCCAGGGGACCCACGGGTGCTCCTGGCCTGGCAGGAACCATGGGAGCACGTTCTACCCCCGCCCAGCCCCCTCCTGCTCCCACCGTGCGGGGCCAGGAGCACTGTCAGGGATACTCTGACTGGCTGATAATGATCTTTACTCATCCTGCACAAGTCTCGTGGCCTTGAAGGAAGCAGATAGTGCACGTAACCACCCTGGCAGCGTCACCCCGACAACCTGAGCTAGCAGTGGCAAAAGGAAAAATATCCCAAGGCATGAGCAATCCCCTCAGACATGTCAGCCACAGCCCTATGGCTGTGGGGTGCTTGTGTCCCCCCTCAGTCTTTGCAGGCTGGGGGTAATGCCAGCATTTCCAGCCCCCCCTCTGCCCAGGAATGTGGTTACTGGACACGGACTTGCTCCTACCTGTTCCCTGCCTGCTCCAAAAATCTCCTCTGCAACTTATTAACTACTCAAGAGCGCGGTGGGATGCTGGCAGCTGGTGCTGTGGAGGGAGCTCTGGGATGGGGGTGGGAGCCCTGTAACTGCCTGGCTGTACCCCCACAGCACCCTGACACCCCACAACCACGGGGTTTGGATTTGGGTGTCCCACAGTGTCCCAATACCCTCTATCTGGGGGATCACCATCTCTTGATCTGCAGCACCCTGAACCCCCACAACCAGTGGGGCCACCCCACAGCACCCCGACACCCCATATCTGTCTGGGTCAGCTGGTGTCAGCCCCTGTCACCCAAGCACCCTGTACCCATCCAGGTTGGCCTCCAGCTCCTTGCAGCCCCCTGTGTCTGACTTTGACCACCTCGTGACACCCCAATACCCCATATCCAGCCAGATTAGCCTCTGGCAAACCATGGCATCCCCAAAGTCCCCAGTATCTGGCTAGGTGAGCTTCTGCCACCCCACTGTACCCTGATCACCCCCCCAAGGGGACCCCAAGTCCTCACAGACAGTTGGGGGGGTAGCGAGGTGTGACCCCATATGTGCTGCTGGGAGGGAGCCCATGCAAGCAGCACCTCAGAGCTTTGTGCCCTCATTGCTGGGGGTCCTGGGGGTCCTGGCCCTCGGGGGACCCGATCCATGACCCAGTGCTGCTGGCAGGTGATGGTGGGCACAGGAGGGTGTCAGTGGCAAACAGGGGGGTCGGGGCTGTTTGAAGGCCCCCCAGGTGTGCAGGCAGGGGTGTGGCAGCGGCCCTGGGGTGCAGGTGTGCACAGGGGCACACACAGACACACAGACACAGACACACACACCCCCTCTGCCGGCAGAGACACCCCCACATGCAGCCGCACACAGACTCACAGACACAGAGACTCACAGACACACACAGAGACATACAGACTGACTCACAGACACACACAGACACACAGGCAGACACACAGACACTCACAGAGAGACTCACAGACAGACACACACACACAGAGATACGCACAGACAGACTCACAGACACGCACAGACACACAGACAGACACACAGACACAGAGAGACTCACAGACACAGAGACAGACACACACACACAGACACGCAGACTCACAGAGACTCACAGTCAGACTCACAGAGACTCACAGTCAGACTCACAGACACAGAGACTCACAGACACACTCAGAGAGAGACTCACAGACAGGCACACACACACACAGACTCACAGACTCACAGACATGCAGCCAGATACACAGAAACTCACAACCAAACTCACAGACACAGAGACTGACAGACACACACACACCGAGACACACAGATACTCACAGCCACACAGACTCACAGCCAGACAGACACACAGCCAGACTCACAGAGAGACTCACACAGGCACACACACAGCTGCAACAAAGATGGACACACAGCCAGGCTCACAGACGCACACACAGAGACACTTATACCCAGACACATACACACAGAGACTCACAGACAGACTCACAGACACACACACAGCCAGGCTCGCACAAACACACAGACTCACAGCCAAGCTCACAGACACACACACCCAGACACACCCAGACACACCGAGACTCACAGACAGACTCACAGACACGTGGACAGACACACACACACAGACACAGTGACAAAGGTGAACAGGCACACGCTGGCAGTGCAGGTGCTCACACCTCCCCAGCACACACACGGCTGCAGACACACCAGCACATGCACCCACAGCCACACAGACACACGGCTGCAGGGCTCTGGGGCAGAGGGTACCCCAGGCAGGGCTGTGGGGTGAGGGGGTACCCCAGGTAGGGGGAAGGGAGTGCCCCAAGCAGGGCTTTGGGTCAGGGGTACCCCAGGCAGGGTTCTGGGGTGCAAATGTACCCCAGGCAGGGCTCTAGGACAGGGTTATACCACAGGCAGGGCTCTGGGGCAGGGTTTTATCCCAGGCAGGGCTCTGGGGCAAGGTGGACCCCAGGCAGGGTTGTGGTACTCGGGAGTAGGGGCAGGGTTATAGCACAGGCAGGTCTGTGGGGAAGTGGGGATGCTCCATACAAGGGCATGGGGCAAGGGGGATACCCCAGGTAGAGGTGTGTGTGTGTGTGTGTGGGGGGATACTCTGTGTAGGGATGTGGGGCAGGGGAGATACCTCCTACAGGGGTGTGGGGCAATGGGGTCATCCCTGGTAGGGCTGTGGTGCAGGGGGAGAGGTGGATACTCCAGGCAGGTATGTGGGGCAGTGGGGATACCCCTGGGGTAGGAGCTGCTGGGGCAGAGTGGGGTGGGATGAGGCAGCAAAGCACCGCAGCCCCCGACCCTGCAATCAGCCCCACGTGCCATGTCCTCACACTTTGTCATCCCAAATTGCCAAAGTACAGACTCTGTCCAGTGTTGTGTCTGCCTGGGGCAGCCACTGACACCTGACTCAGGGTGGGGGAAGGGGCAAATCACCGGGGTTTCAGGGTTCCGGTCACCTCTGGCAGGACACATTCTTGTGGTGAGGAAACTGGATCAATAGTGTTTACCAAAGAGCTGAACGGAGCCAGTGTGCTTGTGGGGCACACCCATCCCTCCTGCTGCATCCCCCTCCCTGTCCCCCGCAGCTGGGGAGGGATGGGGAGTATCCAAGTGCCCCGGGATGAGGACAAAGCGGGGTGGCCACATCTGTGGTCACACAACGGTGACATGGTGACAGGTTTGCCCGCTGCAGACACAGAGACGCCGAATGAAGGTCAGACCCCAAAGATCATGGGAGCATCACCAGATTGGTGGCTCACACTGCAGGAAGGACACCTGGGGGGGCAAGAAGGATGGGGGACGGGGGGGCACCCAGTGCAGCATCCCCTTCCTGCCATGCACCCAGAACCCATCATCCCGGGAGTGAGCAAGAGGTGACGGCAGCAACAGCCCCGGGTGCCTCGGGGCCGCGTCCCACTCACGTGCGCGGCAGCCGGCACAGGATTTGGGGTGTTTCCCCTCCGCTGCGGTCGGGAGTGCCGCGCGTTCCCCCCCCGGGCGAGCGGGGCCGGGGCGGTAAGTGCTGCCTCGGCCGCTTATATTTCAGGCGCGGGACTGCTGGCTCGGTGCTGACCAGGGCACACAGGCAACCCATTGTTGGAACCCCTCCGACGCGGCGGCGAGCAGGTAAAGGCGGCTCCGAGCATCAATGGCAGCTCTGTGTGCCGGCGGGGCGGGGAGGGAGGTGCCGGCACACGGGGGGCTGGGGGGCACCGGCCAGCGAGATGTGGCAGGGGGCTCGCCCGGGGGATGCTGGGCCGTGCTGGGATCGGCTTTGCCACAGCATCCCCTTCCTGCGAGCATCGCCGGCCAGGAGACTCCCATTGCACCGCCCGCATCCTCCTTCCTGACCCGTGGTCATCGTCTCCCCCGTCCCTTCGCCGACCACCTCGGCAGCACTTGGGGGTGTTTTACATGTCGGGAGCCACTTGTTGCTCAGAAATTGGACAGAGATTTGACTTTTGGAGTGACTTCAGGGCAAAGGTCCCGTTTCTGCCCGCAGGGACCCTGCAGGTCCCGGCACACAGCTCTTCTCCTGCTGAGCCGATAAGGCTTTGCTTTCCCATACTGAGAAACAACCTGACTGTGCACATTTGAGTTGGTCGAGGGGGGTTATGTGGGGCAAGGATGTTTTTTTGGGAACATTCAGTCTCTGGGCTGCTGGTAACTAATCCCTGACCGCCTGCTCCGTGTGGGCTGAGCGAGAGGGCTGGTGGCCAGGCCTCGCTTGGCAGATGCAAAGCCAGAGATCCTGGTGGATTGTCTCTTGCTGGCAACTGTCACCTGCCTTCTTGGGACCTTGAAGTAGCCGGGGTGGTCGGTCCATGTGCAGGTGCTGGGGAATGAGGGTCTCTTGGCTCAGCGCAGGGCTGAGCTGGTGCCAGCTGTGTGTGAGGTGGGACTGTCACTTGTGTCCTTGGTGGCCCTTTCTGGCAGGAGATTTGTGCCCCGAGCCTTCTCCCTGTGGGGTGTCCTCTGCCCTGGGCAAGGTCAGGGTGGTGTAGCCTCTGCTGTGCACCCGGTGGTGCCTGGCATCGTGTGACACTGGGTTTAATGCCACCTCCCTGCCTGGGGATGGCCTAACTACCCAGGGGGCCCTCAAGGCACTGCAGTGTGTCCCCATGCTGGTGAAGCCAGAGCAGGCATTGGAGGGCATCTCCTGATGGACATGCTGGGGCAGGAGCTCTGCCTTCATTGACCCCTTTAGCGCAGCGGAGCAGGGACAGGAACTCGGGCTCCCCCATCCTGCAAATCCCGCTGGATTTGAGGCAGGACATCCACACCCGGCTGGGTGCTGAGGTGGGTGCTGGGTGGCCAAAGTTCAGGATGGGTTGAACACCCTGTTTTGGGGTGGAGGAGCTCCCTGCTGGGCAGGTGGGCTGTGGTCCCACCAGGACATGTGCCTGTACCATGGCACTGGGACAAAGCCAGGGACTGGGATCCTGCAAGATGCACTGGGAATGGGCACGGAGACGCGGCTGTGGGGCCAGTGCTCATGTGGGGCTGATGTCCATGGGGTGGTGGTCCTGGATGGCATGTGCTGAGGCGCTTGGAGGTCCCACCTGTGCTACACCACCATCCTCAGGCTCCATGGGCACTGGGGGTGGCTGTTACTCCTCCACTCTGTGCCAAGCCAGTGTCTGTCAGTCCTGCTGGCTGCCAGTGGTGGGGACACAAGGCTGGTGCTGCTGGGCGGGCAGGCACGTCACTGGGAGATGTGGGGAAGGGCACAGGGCACGGGGGCTGTCCCTGGATGGCATCCACCAGCTGGAATATATGTCACGTTCCAGCATTAATTACAGTAATTGGCTGTGGGAGGCCGTGCTGGCGCCTACTCTGGCTCGAGGGGGAATGTGAGCAGCTCAGGTGTTTGATGCTCTGCGCGTGGAGGAGTCCTTGTCCTCACTTTGTCATTTGTCCCCAGCCCACAGACACATCCCCACGTGCCTGCGGGGGCACGGCCCATGCCAGGCACACACACACGTGGGTGTGTCCCTCTCTCCAGCCCCAAATTACGTGGTGGTTACAGCACCCGGCTGGGAGGTGAAAGCCTCAGGCAGAGTCTGGCCCCGGCGGGGATGCTCTGGAACCTCGTAAATTAAAGGGAGCCCTTGACCACAAGGCTCTGGCCCTGGGGTGGCCACACTGGTATGTGAGTAATGTGGGCACTCCAGCAGGACAGAGGGATGGAGCCTTGGCGGCTCCTCTGGCACAGGTCAGGCAGGACCCTGACTCGTCCCCACAGGTTGGAGTCTGCAGCAAGACCTGGATGTCCCCAGGCATCCTCCTGGCACTGCAGTGCATGGACCACCTGGCTTTTCCCACCACACTGGGACACAATGCCCGGGGACATCCCATGCAGCTCTAGAACCCATCACACCGAGCAATTAGCACAAGGGATCGGATCATCTCAGTAACCCCAGTGCTCAGGAAAACTAAGATTATCTCAGTGCTTCTTATCTTTCCCAGAGGCCCAGGATTAAGCTGTGGTGATGAAACAGTGCAATGTCCGTCTGTCTGTCCTTGCTTGCCGTCTGTTGAGCACCTGTGCAGGTGCCGGAGGGGCTCAGAGGGAGTAGAGAGGGGACATGTGTGGGAGTCATGGATTAAAAGAGGAGAGGTCAGGCAGTGCCCAAAGCATCAGCGTCAGTATTGGCATTGGTGTTGGCATTGGTGTTGGCATTGGCACTGGGATCAGTGGGTACAGCACTGGGACACCTTGAGGCCACCTCTGCCCCCCACAGCCCCAAGCCACCAAGCAGGCACCAGGACATGGGCAGACCTGGGGCTGAGGGCAGCCCTGTGAACACTGGCTGGTGGTGGAGCACAAGGTGGGGCGGGTTTGGGGTCTGCCCCCCATTTTGCCCTGGGCAGTGCCGTCTCTCCTCCTTGGGGAACCAGCAGCTGCTCCAACCGGTTTGTGGGTCTGGGTGGTGACACCTCCTGCTTGAGGCCTGATGGAGGGCTGGGAAGTGCTGGTATGGATGCCAAGGAGCAAACAAGAGCTGCTTGTGTCCTGCTGGGCACGGAGCCTGGCAGCGGGGGGGAACGGTGTGCTGCTCTCCCAGCACGGGGCCGTGGGGGGCCTGAGACTGGGCTGCTGCTGGAGCAGTGACCGTGAGCTGGGGGAAAACTGAGGCACGAAAACATGGAGGAACCCATCCAGGTGATGGAACAGAAGGTGCTGACGGTAACGGCAGAGACATCCCGGTGCCTGGACACCGGCTCTTCCCCTTCAGCATCCCAGGCTGAGCCCCAGCGCTGCCCTTGGCACTGCCTGCCCACAGACAGCAGTGGGACACACTCCTGCACCTGGGTGGCCTGATCCCGGTCCCCTGTGTCCTCCTCCGTGGGAGCAACCGGGATATTAAGTGTCAGCGCTGGAGGGAGAAATACAAGTGGAGGAATCCCGGGAAACTGGTTTTACCCCTCCGTCCGGTGCCGGCGGCAGGACGGCGGCTGTGGCGGCGCTCCTCCCTCGGCAAAGGCATATAATGCCTGCCATGGTCCCGGGAGCCGGCACTGCACAGCGGGAGGCGGGCAGGGGTGCCGGGAGCGAGCCATGGCCTCCATGGGCATGCAGGTGCTGGGCATCGCCCTCTCCGTCATCGGCTGGTTGGCCTCCATCCTCTGCTGCGCGCTGCCCATGTGGCGGGAGACGGCCTTCGTGGGGAACAACATCGTGGTGGCCCAGATCATCTGGGAAGGGCTGTGGATGAGCTGCGTGGTGCAGAGCACAGGGCAGATGCAGTGCAAGGTGTACGACTCGCTGCTGGGCCTGCCACAGGACCTGCAAGCCGCCCGTGCCATGGTGGTGGTGGCCATCGTCCTGGCCATCCTGGGCACCCTGCTCGCCGTCGCCGGCGGCAAGTGCACCAACTGTGTGGAGGACGACACCGCCAAAGCCAGGGTCATGATCCTCTCGGGCATCATCTTCATCGTGGCCGGCGTCCTCATCCTCGTCCCCATCTCTTGGTCGGCCAACAGCATCGTCCAGGACTTCTACAACCCGCTGATCGCCGACTCCCAGAAGCGGGACCTGGGCTCGTCCCTCTACATTGGCTGGGCGGCCTCTGCTCTGCTGCTGCTGGGGGGGGGCATCCTGTGCTGCACCTGCCCCCCCCGGGGGGAGAAGCCCT